AATGACCAAAAAATTCATCAAGTCATCATTTACATACCCTCATGTGTTCCAAGCACGTAAGCGATTTCTGCTTCTTCGCCTGTTCAGGAACACTTTCTTCTGTTGTTTACGCTGGTGAAGCATTATACGTGAATTCTGGTGTGCACACCAAAAGCCAACTTTATTATTCTCTCGAGCAGGTTACATACAAAATCAATGCAAAGACACGAATAGACGTGAATTTGCGCCGGGCGACGATATAACTACGTTACATGCCTCAATTGAGCTATCGGTAAGCCTCGCCCCCCTTAGTTACTGTTGCTCACTTGGACAAACAAAAGAGTTGCTAACTTTTCGCAATGACAGATGTCAGTGTGAAGACCTTGTCCCAAGATGTTTTTGATCAATTTTGGACACAGAAGGACCACCATTCAAGAGGGACTTAAATATGCCATGGAGGGATATATATAAGATTTTAAAATAAATATGGTGGGATTAATTTGGAAGTGAGGGTTTACACCTACACTGTACATGACGTGAGAATGGTAAGATACCAGAGATACCTTGCTGAAGCAAACGATGACATTAACGTTCTGCTTGAGCAGATGAAAATTGTAACTTAATGAGAGTATGACAACCAGAAAATGAACGTTTTCGTCTTCATTGGGATTGGGGTTGAATAGGGACATTTAGCTTTTTTGGGTTTAGGAATAAAATAAATTCCATTGCCCATCCTCTCAAGATACCTGGAATCAGTGTTAAAGTACCCCAGGCACATAGTTTTTCCATTTTTGTAGCATTAACACCATCAAACCGATGAGAGCTTCGGATCTCCCAAGTAATTATAGATAACTTATCCGAATTGTTTAAATGTGTAGAATCCATAAGCTTGTTTTTCATCAACCGGTCAAAATTTACAGCAAGGCATGCAAACTTTTGGCCAGACAGAAACTGCACACAAGCTGAATGTAAATGTAACTCTCTGTAAATCCACTCTCTGACACTAGGTGGCACTCATGGAACAGCAGAATAACAGCGGTTTCCCGCAACCTCGGCGGACAAAGCAGCATTGCTATTAAGAACACTACTTTATTATGGAGCGAAGATGACAACAACTCTGCGTGCTGTGCGCATATGAGACTGTTATTAAAACTGTGTTTTATACTGTATAGTATTTATTTATCCTCAGTTGTTCAAATCGCGGGGAATTTTATCATGCTTTATCATCAAACCGGTATTCGTTCCATCCCTACATTGGACTAAATGGGTGAAAAATGAAAGAAAGTCATGTAGGTTTGGAATGACATGAGGACAGATTTTTAATTTTTGGGTGAACTGTCCCTTTAAGAACAGAAATGTCCACATGGACAGCAATTCCTCTTGGTTTACTGAGCTTCTTTAAATCTGAATGCATTAAAATATGTTAGCCTGAGTTTGAAATACAACATGCACACACACACACACACACACACACACACACACACTTGAAAGAAAGGTTCTTCATATTTTTCAGGATTGTGTCAGCTAGATCTATCTATCTATCTGCTGACATTTAAGCGAAAAACTTTTGACTTCAATTGTTATATAATTTGCATTCAAATATTTGGTGTTAATTTTTTTAATTGCAAATTAAAAGCATTTCACTGTACATAAAAAGACCATTCCAGGGTACAGGATGTTATTTGTGGTCAGGCACACTGGTTTGAACATCACACTGCCACGTAAAATACATGGGCTCCTGAAGTGCTTGCTGCTCTATTTGAAGTTCTTCATCCATTTTTAATCCAGCAGGCCCCCTGGTGGTCATTCTTAGAAAACCCCTCTCATATCCACCCTTCCCCCATGAACATCTCTGTCTGTGGAAAATCCATGTGCATAATGGAAGGGATTCTTTCCTTCTCAGCAGCTGTGATGTTGCAGTGCAGAGCTGATCGTCTTCAAGATCAATCTTTTATGAATGCTGTCAGTGCTTCATGCTTTAAGCACACAGGTGAAGTGCAGTTATAAACAGTAACTAACTAACTTGTGTATCAGCTCAGATGGGCTTCTGTATGACAAACAAAGCTGCTGTTTTTCTGTATGGCCTTAATACACAATCACAACACATGAAGCAGAGCAACAGTGTGTATGGAGTTGAATGACTGCCATTTTCATACTCAACACAATTATACACTTAAAAGTATGAGATAAAACGGAACTGAAATGCTCAGTTCTTATAATGTTCTTGTCCAATGTTAGTTTTGTACAGTCTGTTCCTTTGTTTCTGTGGTGAAGTTTTCATGGCTTTTGTTGGGGTTTAGTGCTATCTGCTGGATAAAAGCAAGAATGAATTTGATTTAAAAAAAATGCTGTGAAAGTTTTTGCCCCTTCCTGTTTTTGTTGCATATTTGTCACACTTAAATGATTCAGATCAAACTAATTTTATTACACAAAGATAACCCGAGTAAATACAAAATGCAGTTTTGAAATAATGATTTCATTTGAGGGAAAAAAGCTGTTCAAACCTGCCTGCCACTACGTGAAAAAGAAATTGCCCCCTAAATCTAATAACTGGTGCCACCCTTGGCAGCAACAACTGCAATCAAGCGTTTGCGATAGCTGGCAATGAGTCTTTCACATCGCGGTGGAGGAATTTTGGCCCACTCTTTTTTGCAGAATTGTTCAGCCACACTGGAGGGTTTTTGAGCTTGAATGGACTGTTTAAGATCATGCCACAGCATCTCAATCGGATTTAAGTCTGGACTTTGACTGGGTCACTCCAAAACCTTAATTTAGTTTTTCTTGAGCCATTCAGAGGTGGACTTGCTGGTGTGTTTGGGATCATTGTCCTGCTGCATAAACCAAGTGCACTTGAGCTTGAGGTCACAAACTGATGGCCGGACATTCTCCTTCAGGATTTTCTGATAAAGCGCAGAATTCATGGTTCCGTCAATTATGGCAAGTCGTCCAGGTCCTGAATCTGCAAAGCAGCCCCAGATCATCACACTACCTCCACCATGTTTGACTGTTGGTATGATGTTCTTTTTATGAAATGCTGTGTTGGTTTTACGCCAGATGTAACAGGACCCACACACCTTCCAAAAAGTAAAATTTTTGTCTCATCAGTCCACAGAATATTTGCCCACAAGCCTTGGGGATAATCAAAATATTTTTTTGGCATGTGTGAGCCGAGCCTTTGTGTTCTTTTTGGTCAACAATGGCTTTTGCCTTTGATGCTGTTTTTGGATGCAATCCCATGGATGCCGTTTTTGCCCAGTCTCTTTCTTATTGTTGAATCATGAACACTGA